ATAGCCAAATATTGTAGCGCCACATCACTAGCGGACATTTGAATTTGCTGACTAGAACACGGTCGGTTAACCGATGTGACGGTTAATCGGGGGTTGGATAATCGATGCTCTACTGTATTTCATTTAACATCTCATAATGGAGTAATGATAATAAAATGAAATTTGGCATGGTAGTTTGTGTATAAGGGGCATTGATGCTATTAATTTTTGGTTTTGACAGGTCAAGGGGTGGAAAGATAGAGGGGTGTCACGTATCATATCTCATATGGAGTCTGATGTAATGGAGATTTTATTTGTTGTTAGCATTTAGTTTATTTTTTGAACTCATCTCGTACCTGAAAATTATCCATTTTGCCATGTTCTGCACTTTGCTTAACTAGGACACTTTTATATAATGAGAAGTTGAGAAACTTGACTTAAATTTACATTGATTTGAACCTTTTGCTGCATCATCATAGATTTTCCTCATAGGTGTCCCACACTCAAATTTCTGGCTACATCCCTGTACTCATATACATAAAAACAACAATTATTAAATTTACTTTATAGTTTAAAAATGAAGCAATTTTGTTTTGCTCATGTTAGTAAGCTGAAAATGCTAATTTTGAAATGAAATAAGGCATTTGAAGAATTCAAATATTTATTTTAAGTAATCAATGTACATGGTGAATCTCTCTCTGGAGTACTTCCAATTGGAAACAGCGTGAATCTGATTGGCTAATCTGATTACAAACTAAATATTCTTAATTAGCATCTAGAGATATTTTCACAGAAACTTGCCCGGTACCAATTTGAACCAGTAACCACACTCACAACGTTTGGGATCACCCATGTGAAGCCACATGTAATTAATATGAGTGGAATCTTCATGACCTAAATGCAAAAATTTATATATTATATATATAAAAAATATATTTTATAAAAATGTTAAAGATTATAGATCTTAACAACTTTGATCTAATTTGCAGAAACTGTTAAAAATAACCAAGAATTCTTTAATGGACAAAATTTTTCTATATCTGCAAAAGTGTGTTTAATGAAATATTTTGGTAAGATTGAGATAATATGACCATGTCAACTCTAACATGTTTTTAGTTTTCTGAAATACTGTACTTCCATTAAAAGCAGAAAGTAAAGTTGTTTCCAATTTTTAATAAATAAATGCTCAATAAAATGTATTGGGTATTTTTAACAGATTGTGGATATATATTTAACATTAGATTCAGCTTTGAAGTATTTGTACTGTATAGTATTTGTACTGCTGAAATTAAATACAGTAGAGCCTCGAAAACTCGGCACTCCGGATAACTCGGCCACACCCTAGCAGGGCAAAAAAATCTTTAGTTAATTAATTTTCATTACAGACAGCTTTATGCCTCAAAGTATTTTTCTGGGGTCTGTCTTATCAGGTAAATTACTGTACACAGTGTATTCATTAATTTTCATTTTCATGTAGTAAAGGCTCTATGCCTTCATAAAAGACGTACTTTTCCTTTGTTTAAGGGTATTTGAGCAGTTTATTCTCTGTTGTATTCTCAAGTAAACAATACATACAAGTACAGTACAGTATTTTCTGAGGAAACACTCACACTTATTTTTTTTAACCCCATTTCCGATAACTCTGCATTTTCACAAACTTGGCCACTCTTTGGTCCACATTAGGCCGAGTTTTCGAGGCTCTACTGTACTTCTAAATTTACTTGACTAAAATTGAGATCATCATCATATTTTATGGCTTATAAGATGCAAATTTTGTAAAAATTTTATTACAGTTACAGTAAGACCCCACTTAATGCTGATTCGATATAACGCAGTCTGCTCAAAGCCTAAAAAAAAAACTCAAAATTTATGCTGATTTAAATTATTGCAACATTTTATTGATTCATATATAATCTGATTATTTATGAACACAAACCATCAGAAAAAAGGAGACAAAAAAGGTGTACTTTCTTTAAATCTATGTTTGTTTTGTGCAATTTTGGGAAAATATAACATCATGGATGCCATAAGCAATATCAGCTTCACTTGGCAAGAATTAACTGATAAATGCACAAATGAAGTGTGGAAGAAGTTATGGCTGAAGGTATCCAAGAATTCTCAACAAGAAGAGCCTATTGCTGTATTGTTAGGTTGACCAAACTCAACCTAATCGATATAGCAAGACTAGAGGATATAGACGAGCAAGATATTGAGTAGTTACATCAGATTTCTGGTGAGAGCCTTACCAACGACAATCTTCAAGAACTGGCAGAATGAGGAATTCATGTAAAACTGGAAAAGAGAGATTTTGAAAACAAAGAACCCAAAAAATTTCTCTACAGATTTCCTTAGTATAAGTTTGGTAACGATAACTGAAATCGTCGTAATTGTAGCAAACGATCCAGATTTTGAAAGGAGTGCTAAGCAAAATGAGGCATTTTGGATGCGATCTTCGACATTGCTTAAGGAAAGAAAAAAGCGACAAATGAAACTTCACAACTTTATTGCAAAAAAACAAGAATTTCAGAAAAGTCAGGACCTTTATCACAAAAAATGAACTTTACATTTCTGTGTGCATATGTTTATGTGTTATTTAACATATATTAATGTGCAAATTAATATAAAAATACAGTGGAACCTCGGTATACGTCTGCTTTAGAATACGTCCAATTCGGAATACGTCCTGTTTGGACGAAACAAATTTTGCTCGGTACACGACTTTTGTTCGGTATACAACTTAATTCAATTATAAGCGCAATCTATGAACAAGTAGCACTATCGGTGTACTAGACCAAATTAGACGTTCGCGGTGCCACGGTTTATAACTTTGTTAAATTTCTTCCGATTTTAATTTGTAAGTAACATTTTATTATTTTTATTAATCATGAATTGCAAAAAGGCAACAGAAAAATAAAAAAATGACAATGGAACTGAAAAAAGAGATTGTTGAGAAATATGAAGGTGGCACGCGTGTTCGAGATTTAACTGTTGCATTCCGTATTCCGAGAACGACGATATCGACAATCGTGAAAAATAAAGACATTATTAAATCTGCTAACGTTGCGAAAGGGGTTAAATCAATTTCTAAACAGAGATCGAAGACATTAGATCATGTCGAGAAATTGCTTTTGCTTTGGATAACTGAAAAACAGTGTGCCGGCGACAGCGTATCGGAAGAAATTATTTGCGAGAAAGTTAAAAGGATACATGCTGATCTCATGAAAAATCAAGCAGAAACTAGCGAGGAAAGCGAGGTGTTTAAAGCCAGCCATTTTTTTTACATGAGAACGGATTAATCATTTTTACATTACTTCTTATGGAAAAGGTTGGTTTGGTATACGTCCTATTCGGTATAAGTCCAAACACCGGGAACGGATTAAGGTCGTATACCGAGGTTCCATTGTAATTTAAAATTGAAGTAAAATTTGTTTAATTTTGGTTGCGTGTTCCCCTATCCCTATTTACTCTATGTTAAAATGGCCTCATTTAACGCTGTTTTGTTTAGCGCTTTGTCATGTAGGACAGCAGTCAGCAGCCTTTCTGACTTCACAGACCACTAAACTCACAATTTTGAATCACACAGACCACTATTGTAAATTTTTTAAACAATACAAAATCTGTAGAATAATGATCATAAAAGTTCAATTTTANCGCTGTTTTGTTTAGCGCTTTGTCATGTAGGACAGCAGTCAGCAGCCTTTCTGACTTCACAGACCACTAAACTCACAATTTTGAATCACACAGACCACTATTGTAAATTTTTTAAACAATACAAAATCTGTAGAATAATGATCATAAAAGTTCAATTTTACTATATTAATATGAAACTTGTGCATTTAATTATAACAAATTAATTCAAGTCTAAAGTTCATTGTTGCTTGTTTGAAACAAGTTTACGGATTTTTAACACTTTTCCACGAAAGATGACAATCTCACTCACAATATTGTTTATTGTTCATTATTTATTGATAACAGTCACTTCGTATTTGGTTTTAGAGTCAAATAGAAACCCCCGAGTGAAAAAAAAGTAACTAAGCATTTTGCATTTCTTTCGTAATACTTTGTGTAACCTTCTGTTGATCAATGTCCAAATTTCTACACAGACCACCCAAATTTTCTCACAGACATAAATGTAATTTCATAAATAAATGCCATCAATGGTCCACGGACTACTGGTTGCCTACAGTTGATCTAGGAATGCATCCTCCACATTAAGTGGGGTCTTACTGTATAATATGCAATAATCATGAATACTGGTATATGCAATGTGGAAGTCATTAGCTTATGAGATATCACAACTTAAGATGCTGATTTTTTTTTCTGTAGCTTATCCACTTTTGCATGTAATAATTATTGACAGAATATTTTAATGGTAAATGACTTTCTCTTTTTCCCTGAAAAATAAATGTGTGCATTCTAATTTTATTTTATTTCTTAACCAGAATATAGTAAAAAAATTTTTGAGACTTATTTTGTTATAAAATACAGTAAATTGTCTTAACTGATTATAATATTCAACTGCTAAAAACTTCCTGTTTTGTTCTATGATTATTACAACTACAATTACTAAAAATAAATCACTATGATGTTTTTCTTGATAGGTTGATTTGTTATCAACCTATCAAGATGTATTTCTCAATAATATATCATTAGATTTAACAAGATTCCATTTGCATTTTAGCAGTTGTGAATGTATTGCAGACTTAAATATGCTACTTTCATCCTAAAAAGAAGACAAGAAAACAAGACAATAATGTTCAAAATAGTCTAATCATATACTGCTTATAGTAGTCATTAAGTCATTCACTTCCAATTCCTGACGTGGGAAGTTTGCTTTAAATTCAATCTCTGGGCCTGATGCAGAAAGTACATGCTCTTGAACTAATAATACAAGTACTTTAACTTCTACATCATTAAAATTTCATTTATAAAATCATTTATTATTAAACAACAACACAACACTGGGGCATATTAAATAATTGAAGAACTCAAAGCAGAACAAAAACGTTTGTGGTGAACTTTTTTTTTTGTTTTTTTTCATCACATACTGGATATAGGTGCTCAGAGTACGTCATTTATTATTATTCTAATAAGTCAAATGTCATCATCTAATCTTGATGATCATCGTTTGAGTAAAGTTTGTCTGAAATTCATACTTAATAAAAAGTCTATAGACTGGACACGTTATTTTATTGATACTTGTAATAATCATGGTGTTAATCTTATTAATAATGATGTGGATTTAATGGACTGGTCTCTTCTCCTCGTTAACATTTTTGATAACTTTTTATACAATATAAATCAAAAAATAAATAATAGTGTATATAATTGCTGGTATAAGGATTTAAACGTTACTTTTTTTGATAATTTTTTATATAATCAAGATGTTTCCCTTAATATTTTGTCTTCATTTATACAGGTTAGGTTTAATTCTCTGAACTTTTTGAATAATTATTCGAGAGAATTGTGTAACTTTTGTGTTGAGAACGAAATTGTGGATGCTTGGCATATTTTGGCTAAATGTGGGCGTCTTAAGGTGTTACGTGATGAAATTTTTGGTTGCGAAGTTCTTACCAGGTCTTTATTTCTTAAAACTTTATCGGAACCATGTTATCAATTTAAAGTGTTTTGTTTTCTAAGAAGATCTGTTGTTTTTTTCTCTTAGGGGGCGTGATTCCTCAATTATAAAATTGGCTTTGCTGCTGGTGTTGTTTGGGAGCATCTGTCAGTGCTGTGTTTTCGTTACTAATTTATTTCTTCTTTATAGGTAAGCAATTTGCTTTCTCATTTGGTTGATTGTTTTACTTTTATCTTGTTTATTGGTTTTGTATTATTTTTTGACAGATGCTCCCAAACTTTAACTTTAAACTTTAACTAATTATTACATTTGATTT